AGAACATAGTGTTGTTCGGGCCATATGAAAGAGGAACCACACAAATCCCATAATCGCCCCGAACAACACTATGTTTTGTCCTTATAATAGTGGAGAAAACCTTTCCTCGTTCATTTTTATACCTAAGCTTAAATTCTAAATATCTCCCTCTAGGCAAGCCAAGGGCCGCTAACATTTTAACCTTATTAGTTTGACGTTGAGAGCTTGTATTTGACCCGAACATGTGTCACTTTTTCAATGGACAACACAAACACCTCCATTGTAAGTAATTAAATCTCGATATCTATGATGTTCCTATCAAAAGTTATTTTGAAAGCCAGTAGAGCACATGACATTTTGTAATCGATGATCGCTAATAGAGAAATATTATTCTTTCGAAGTTTTCCATTGATAATACTAATGATAGACATAAGATGTAGAATATTCATTTTTCTTTTAATGAATTTCTATATATAAATTCTTTCTATTTTAATAGAGATCTGATTGTATTCATGGTGTTGTCTTCGATAGTCTTGAAACATCATTTCTTGCTAATTGTGCACAAGCAGCAGTTGCAGTTCTTAAAGCAATTAATAATCGTTCACATATTTATGCAATAATAACAAATTTTTCTTATTCTAAATACAAAGAAGCTCAAGCTCGAGCTGATGAAATTCGACGTATGATATAATATTTCATATATGATTTCTCATAATAATGAATATTCTATTTTTAGGTTTTGAAGAACAACAACGAGAACAAAATGAAAATGAGTATGTGGAAGAAATGGGTGAAGATGAATATGATGCATTACCCGAAGAAGAAAGACAACGTATTGATCAAAAACGATTACAACGAAAAAAAGATCGTATTCTTAAGTATGAATATTTTTTTCATATCACTTTTTTTCTATATTTCTTTTTGTTTTATTTTAGAGAACAACGAAATAAAGAAGAAAAAGCTCGATTAGAACAAGAACGTTTATTATTAAAAGAAGCTGAATTACAGTATGGCATAACATTCGTTCATATTTGATTCATGTGTGTGTTTTCTTTTTTGTATCTCTTTAGAAAAAAACAAAAAAAACCCGGTTCAAATCCAACAGCAGCAGGCAAAGGTGGAATACCACCTCCGAGTGGAAGTGAAAAAGGTACTTCAGCAGCTACAGCTGCAACAGCTGCAGCTAATGCTGCTGGTGGAAAAACAAGTGCTCGACCAACATTAATTAGTGCACGAGGTCCACCAGTTTCTGATCGACCTAATGCAAAAGTTGAAGGAACAAATAGTGAAGAAAATGAAAAGTATGAAATTAAACAAAAAGAATTTTTTTAATGAAAATACAACTTGTTGTTGTTTTTTTTTTTTTCTTCAGAAAAAAGACAACTAAAAGTGATTCAAAATCTGCTAAAGAAACTATGGTTAAAGAAGATGTGGATAGTTCAAATATTTTAGCTAAAGCATCAGTTACAAGTGATGGTGATGATGAAAAAGAAAAGAAAAAAGATCGAGAATTATTAGTCAAGTAATTTCAGGACAAAATAAAAACAAAGAAAACTTTTATTTCAAATCGAATTTTTTTTTCTTTATCATAGATTTAAAACATTTGAATTTTATCGTAATGAATTACTTAATGCATTTGATTTATGGGATCGAACAAAAGGTATAACACGAAGTCCACCAACACCAACAAATCAATCTGAAGAAGAACATACATCTGGTGCAATGGGAGCTACGACTGCTATGAAAAAACCAATACAAAAGAAAGATAAAGGTATTTAAATATTCGTTTGTACATTTCAATTCTTGAACATAAGATGATCAATTGTATTTTCATGTAATCGTAGCGTTTACAAGAGGAAATTTTCAAATATCATCATCTGATTTACATATGAGAAAATCACGTATTTTTCAAAATATTTATTATTTGCATATATTGATTTTTGCTAAATATTATCTGGTTGAAATTAATTTCATTATATATATATATTTTTGTTTTTGTTTAGGTAAAAGACCTGATGCAAAAGATAGAGAAAAATCTGAAAGAACAGATGATGGTGGTCAAGGAGGTACACCTAATCAACAACAACTTGCGAGTACAACACCAACAAATCTCGTATAAAAGAAAAAAAAAAAATTCTAGAATAAGAATTAAATAAAGATTTATGTATTTATTTCTAAGGATGAAAGTGGACAACCAATCAAAGATGATTCAAAGAAACAATCACCTTCAGGAACAGATGAAGTCATTAATATTCCAACAATTCAAATTGATACACCTGTAGATTATAGTTCAAATCAACCATTACCATCGGAATTATTGGATTCAATTAAAAATCGTTTACCAACTTTAGATCAAGTATATATTTTCAACATTATTATTTTTTAAATTGATGATTTCATTCGAAAATCTCAAAAATTTGTCAGTAATATTCTCGAAAAATCTCCCCAAAGAACTCACTTGATTGATCTGCTATTGACGAAACAGATTTTAGGATGAGCAGATCATTTCGGATCTTTTCTCTTGAATAATAAAAAACAGCAGAATATACTCTATTCTGAAATCAACAGTAGTACTCGTCAAATGAACATCTTGTCGGTTGAAAAGTGATCTAACATCGGGAGAGATTCGCAATTTTATCTTCTATCAAGAAAACTTAACTGTTAAAAATTCTTATCATATATTTTTTTTTCTAGGTACTTGATGGAATGGGTCAAGGTCCACATGGTCCACCTGTTCCTAGACCGTTTGAATTTTCTGTTGTTCCATTTCCTGAACCACGTACTAATCCGCCTTGTGCTGAGTATGGTCAATATTTTTTTGTTGCTACACATGAAAATGATCCGTAAGAATTATTCATATTAAAAAAAAGCATTTCATTTCTCTTTGTTCGGTTTTATTAGAAATTTATATCCAGAAGATGGTAAATCAAAAGATGGTAAAACACCAGAACCAACATATATTGCTGATGATGGTGATGGAAAAGATGCTGGAGGAAAAGGAAGACGTAGTCGAGGTATTTTACATAGGAAAAAAACAACACAAAAAAAAAAGAAATTAATAACAAATTTTCAATTGATCTAGGTGATCGGGAATCTATGACAGCTAAACGTAAGACAAGTGGTGGACCCAGTGGTAGTACTGAAGGTAAATCAACAGCACGTGTAACAACAAAAGCAGCCAGTCGCTTTGGTGGAAAACAATCACCAACACATCATTCTTCTGATGGACAAGATGCAACAAGTGAATCAAGTCTTGAAAAACTTTTACCAAGGTTAGTTTTTGTTTTGCTATTGGTACAAACTGGTTTATTTTGTTTTCTATTTAGAATTGTTCGATTTCGTTGGATTATTCCTGCTAATGGTGAAATTCGTGTTCGTCTTCGTTTTATCTCTGGTGAAGTTGGACAATTTGATCAAACAATATCTTTTGAAATTGTTGGTACAAAACGAAATTATAAAATATTCTGTCGAGGTGTATGTACTTTTCCATCAATAAGTCGAGAACCTCGGTTAGTATTATTATTATTATTATTATTTGTATTTTAAACTTTTTCGTTGTTATTAGAACTGTTTTTCCTAATCGACAAAAAACACGTAAACCAAATGAAATTGTTCATAAAAAATTTATTCTTTCAACTGAACAATATGATTTTGGTCCATTAGTACTTGGAAAAGATATAAATAAGTATGTAAATTAATTCTTAAATGAAATTATCTAATAAAATTTTTAGAATACGTACTGGTAATTATCCAAATAATATTGAATCATTAATAATTGATAATACATCACCAATGGATGTTGAAGCTCTATTTTGTTTCTTAAATGAAGTTGAACCAGCAAAAGCAGCATTCTTTCTTGAACCAAGTGAAATGCATTTAAAATCAGGAGAATCAAAAGTATAAAGAAATTAAACAAGAAAAAACTAAATCTATTTGTTTTCTTTTTCTTCTATTGTAGACACTTAAAATAATGGCTAATCCACCAAGAGAAGGTCATTTTGAAGATTCACTTGTTTGTTGTATTAAAGAAAATCCTGAACCAATTGTTTATAAATTATGTTGTGATGGTTGTACACCTGAATTACAAATTGAACCAACATCATTCGATTTTGGTCAAGTATTACTTTATAGGTAAGCAAATATATAGTGATGCCAAATAGTATTCGACTAAATTTATTTTCAATTTTTTTTTTCGCTACTGTATTATTCTAGATAATTCAAACAAAATTGTATAAGTTGAAACACCACATCCACACTCTTTGAGACAAATAGCCCTTAGTGACTTGTTTAACCCTTTGAGGCCCAGTGGGATATATATTTCCCACCTTGAGAATTTTGAAATCTTCGAGTTTTCGAGAATCTTGGAGAAATATTTTCAATATATGTTAGAAGCTAGCAGAGGTCCGTACAAGATTGATTGGATAATAGAGCGTATAGATGACATTGAAAAACGCACCTTGCGAAGTGTTGACCCCAGGGGGGGGGGGGGTACTTCTATCGAGAGTTTNATTTGTCTATCAAACAATAATTAACATGTATGAAGAATCAGAATTGTTGATAGCTTTTATGAGTGGAAGTAGTGGCGGCGCCAGGGGGGACTCAGCCCCCCCCCCCCATCCCCTCCCAGCTCAAAATCCTGGCTCCGTCACTACTTCCACTCATAAAAACTATCAACAATTCTGATTCTTCATACATGTTAATTATTGTTTGATAGACAAATAATTATTTTATTTTTATTCTAAATAGTTTCACTTTCAAATACAATGAATTTTGGTGAAATTCATTTAAATGAGTCTCGACAAATTCTCTTTTCTATAACTAATCATCATCAAAAAGATTCTGTACGATTTGAATGGCCTGAACATCCTCAATGTACATTTTCACCACGTGTTGGTCATCTTCATGCTGGTAAATATATTTGTTTTTATGTTTTTATTATATATTTTCTTTTTTTATGAAAATAATATTTATTTAATTATTAGGTTGTACAAAAGATATTCAAGTAACATTTAAAACAAATAAACCAATTCAATTAACAAAAGAAAAACTTCTTTGTTCAATAATAAAAATAACATTTGATCGTCCAGTTAATGAAATTCCTGATTGGGATGATCGAATGCGTTCAGTTCGATGGATTGATGTTCCACAACCTGTTATTGATTCAACAAATCCTGAAATACAACGAACAAATCGTCCAGCAAGAAAAAAAGTTATTGAAGCTGATATTGAACCAACACATCAACGTATTGAAGAACAAACACGTCTATTAGATATTTATGTATCTGCTATTGCTGATTATTGTCGTTATAAATGTAGTGATTTTGAAATTCGATATTTTGATACGGCTATATTACAAACACGTGTTCATGAGTATGTCTTAGATATTCTAATATTAATAATTTTTCTTTTTTTTTTTAAATTAATATTTTAGAGTAACAATTACAAATCGTGGTAAAGTATCATTTAATTATTCATGGCAAGTACATATGGAAGATAATCAACGACCATTTACACCAATGATTGATCGAGATCCACCAACACCTGAACCAACCGATGGTACGCGAAAAGGACATAAAGGTGGTGCTCGTACTCAAGCATCAAATGCTCCAACAACAGATTCATCAAATACACAAGAATCACCAACAGCTCCAACTACATCACGTGGAAAAGATAAATCAACAAAAGAAACAAGTAAATCAACGGGTAAAGATGGACCAACAGGAGGTAAAATAAAAGGTGCACGACCATCGATTAAATCAAATGTAACAGCTGAAAGTTTGACTGAAGAAAAAGAAGCTGAAAATGAATCAGGATTTTTTACTGAAGGTGCTAATATTACTGATATGCCACGGGGTGATTCAGAATCAAGTGCTCGATCACCACCAAGTGTAATGACTGAAGTTGGTTATATACCATTTACGATTGAACCAGATACAGGTTCAATTGCTGTTGGTGCTAGTCAGGTATTTAAAATTAAATTTGCACCACTCGATGTTAATGATTATCAAGCACGATTGACTTGTTGGTTAGTTAAAATTTTCTATTGATTTGAAATAAAAAAAATTTCATTTTGTTTTATTTAGTATACCAAATTTAGAAACAGCTAAACCAGGACCAGCTGTGGCTGTTCGTGGTCGAAGTATTTTACCATTCTGTCATTTTGAATTAGAAGAATCAGATTATTTAACAAGTGGTCGACGACGTCTTGATCTTTTGATTAATAATGGTTCATCACAAGCACCAGCTACATTTATTGATCGTCAAACTCGTGTTATTGAATTTAAAGCGGTTGGAATTGGATCAACACTTAATAGGTTAGTTGAATATTTTCGTTAAAAACAAATTAGAAAAGTCTAATGGGTGACGCTTAGTTGAAGGATTTTCACTCGAGTGAATATACTGACGAGAAAATTTTTTCAACTAATCCATTGCTTTTGAATTCGGACTCAGTTCATAAGGTAGTATTAAGTGAGATATGAAAAATCCCAAAAGAATCATCTCGAAGAGAAAATATTCTTTTGAGATGAAATTTTCAAAGTATTCTATTGATCAATACTTTTGTCTGTGGGTGGAATTCCAGGTCACAATACAGTCGTTCGGCTTGTCCAAACGTAATGTTGTTACGTTTTTGACACACTGTTCTTCAATTAACTCGGAAGGTTTAACAGTTAGAAAGTTCATTCAAACGCCATTCGACACAGCTTATCAAACTCTATTTATGCTATAACAACGATCTTTTTCGACTGAAGTCTCGAAAGGTTTTATTATCGCGTAACGCTGTTACATAAAACGACCCTTTTTTTCCAGTACTGCCGAGAAAACTCTAATTTCTAGCGAAACTATTTCTCCAAATGAAAACTTTCCAGATTCAGTTTTGTACAGCATTGAACAAGCTTTTAGGCAGTAAAAAAGATTTTTCCTAAAGTATTTTTGCTCAGATGAAAAATGCAAAATACAAACGTAACGCTGTTACACAGTTTTTTGTGGACCAGTTTTGAGGCACTTAACATGTTTAGAATGGTTTGCTTTTTACAAATATTACTCATTTCCGTGTAGATAATCTTCTACATCATAAGAATGAGATTGATACATCGATCCGAGACCTCATAAACCGGACAGTAAGCTGGAAACTGTGTAAGAGTCTGCAATTTGTCTTTACTTACGAAAGTCAAAATTAAATAGGCCATTTTGTAGAGAATTAAATTCTGCATCGAATGGTATGTCTCTCAATATTTTTCCAAAAATTGTTTTGGTTAAAAAATTCAAAATATGATTTTTTACAAGTTTAAAACCCGGTTTTTGATTCTAAAACCTAACTTTTTTACAAAATAAATATCAAATTTGTAATCAGCGTTAAAAATTGCATCTAGTAACACATTCAGATTTGTCCAACTCGAAAAAAAACATTTTTTCGAAACTTGATCAGCGTAGTGTCGCGTTACGTGGACAAGCCGCGTTCCATTTATCGGTAGCATGGTATCCTGAGCTCAGCACATTCGATAGGACAGTACTTCAGACTATAAGTCAAATTCTGATTTTTTAAATTCAATAGTAAGAAATAAAACATGCTTTCTATAGTGTACTAGTTGATATCGATGATTTCAATTCGTCTTTGACTACTTTGTAGGAAATAGAAGTTAGCCGAAAATCTCTTCGCTACTCCCAAATTGAATTATCTAAAGCTAAGAAAAATAGTCATTTCTGAAAGTGTAATCTTGTTATACAAATAAATAAAACTATTTCTAGATCATTTTCTGTATTAAATCCAACGGATGCTGATTATACATATCGATGGATATGTGAAGATAATCTTGATTTAACCAAACAACCATCATTTGTATGCCGTACTGTACAAGGAAAAATAGGATCAGGCAAAGGAGTATTAGTAAGTAAAACAATTTCTATTGTTTGTTTTTTTTTTAAATTTCGTCTACATGAAAAAAATTTATTTATTTATAGATGTCATTTGATTTCTTTCCACGTTCATTTGGAATAATTGAATCAATGTATCGTTTTGAAGTTCCAACACATTCTTTATCTGTTCCATTTTTACTTGTTGGTCAAGTCAATGAACCACAAATATTATTTGATCGAACATTTGTTTCATTTCATCCTGCATTAATTGGTCATCATGTTGAAGAAATTTTAACATTAATTAATAAAGAAAATCGTTCATTTCATTATCAATTTCTTGAACGATGTTTTATTAATGGTACAACAAATAATGATTTAATTATTGAACCATCATCATCTGGTATTATATCTGAAAATACACGTTTACCATTACGTTTAATATTTCGTCCAACACAAAATCGTTCATATACATATATTCTTCAATGTCGTATTGATGAAACAATTGAATTATTAAATGTTAATGTTAAAGGTGAAGGTTTTGCTAATTTATCAAGTGTACAATGTGAAGCAATTGATGGTAATCGTTATGATTTAAAATCAATACAAAATGGTACAAATGAAATACATTTTGATGATGTTTTAATTGGTAATATAGCATCAAGACAAATTCAAATATCAAATGATGGTAAATATTCTTTTGATTTTAATTGGTCACATGATAATGAACAAGATTTGGGACCATTTACAATAACACCAATGAAAGGTACTATATCAAATAGTCAAAAACAAACATGTCTTATAACATTTGAACCACGTACACGTGAACATCGTTCATTAGTACAACGTTCTATTCAATTGAATATTATTAATGGTTTAAAATATGATTTATTACTTATTGGACAAACAACAACACCAAATATAAATTTTTCATTTTTATCATATAATTTTAGTTCATGTTTTGTTTATCGTGCTGGTATGCCAGAAAATACATGTCAATTAATAATAACAAATCAAGATACAAAAGATCATACTATTGAATGTTTATATCAATCAACAGCACAATTAATGTTAGATTTTAAAACAGGTTTAATTTCATCAAAACAAAATACTGTTTGTAAATTTACATTTTATCCACGTGAACAAAAAAATTATCGAGAAAATGTTCAATTTGAAATTGATGGATTAACAATAATTAATGTTATGATTGAAGGAGAAGGAGTTGATTTTCGAGTTGAATTAGCTGAACCAAAACATAAAATTCTTAATTTAGGTAAAATATCTATTAGTAAATACCTTCTAATTATGAACAGTATCATTCTTCTCTCTATCACTTGTTTATTATACACTATGACAAAATACATTCTATATATTAGAGTTATTGAGCCAGAAAAAAGATACACTTGCATTCAATGAATGGTTCGATAAATGTGAATATCGGATGCTAATGAATAAGATAGTGGCGCTGATGATGATGATGATGCTAAAAGATTTGTTTTATTATTGAAAAATCCTTTCGATAAACAAGAGAATAAATAATTCGATTTTTATCTAAAATTAATAAAAATAAATAAATATTTTGAAATTTTCCTTTTCTTCTTTTCACAGTTGTCTATATGTTAAAGCTCTAAATTGAACATTTCTGTGTAGTGAATGCTTTTATATAATCTCAGCAGTGCTCACAATAGAGAAGCTTCACTGTAAACCCCCCCCCTCCCAGTTTAAAAGCCCCCGGGGGCTTCTACTAAGGGAGGGCTACTAATGCGATTTTCGTACAAAAGTTTCAAAAAAAAAATCAGAGAAAATAAAAAAAACCAATGACTCGATCTAACGTAAGTGAAAAACTTTTTAATCTGTTGCCCAAAATATCAATTTAGGCTGAAACAGATTTTTTTTTTGTTTCAGTA